TCCTGCAGAGAAACCTGGAGCCCCCAGCAGCATCAGGCTCCTGGACGTGTGGGGCTGCAATGCTGCCCTAGAGTGGACACCTCCCAAGGACACAGGCAACACGGAGCTCCTGGGCTACACGGTGCAGAAGGCGGACAAAAAGACAGGGGTGAGGCCAACTGGGGAAGAGTGGGGCTGGAATGGGAAGCTGCTGAGGTGTCTGGGAAGGCCTGGCCCACTTAGAGTCTGGGGACCAGGCTCCAGTCTGTCACTAGCCTGACATCCTAATGGCCCTCAGCAAGACTCTTTCCCTCTCTGGACCTCAGTTTCCTCCTGGAGACTGCAAGGAGAGCTAGACTGGGCCCTCTGAGGACTTTCAAGCTCTGGAGACAGGTTGCTCAAATCTTAATGTCCACCATGTGGGGACCTTGCTGAGATTCAGATTCTGATTCAATAGGTCCAATGTGGGGGCTGAGATCTCCCATTTCTATGAAGTTTCCAGGTGATGCTAAGGTTGCCCATCTATGGACCATTCATTGAGTAGGAAGGCTTTAGAATTCTCTGAGGACCCCACAGGGGTCACCTGAGTGACCCATGGGCCCCTTCTCCAATTCAAAGTCCCTTGGGTGCAAAGCTGGGGGGTTTGGCCTCCCAGGGTTTGGAGCACAAAATGAGCCCCCCTGAGGAAGGGGTGATAGGGTAAGCAGGGAGGGTGAGCACAGGGGCAAGAGTGACCAGCCAGGGCCCCCGCAGCAATGGTTCACAGTACTGGAACGCTACCACTCGACCACCTGCACCATCTCCGACCTCATTATCGGCAACTCGTACTCCTTCCGGGTCTTCTCAGAAAACCTGTGTGGACTCAGTGCCTCAGCTGCCGTCACCAAGGAGCTCGCCCGTATCCAGAAGGCAGGTGGGTTTGGGCCCAGGATGGGAACCGAGCCAGGGCTAGCCAAGCTGACTCTTACCCCATCCCCATCTCTTCCTGGATGCCTCTGCCTCCCTCTCTCTGTGCTTGTGCTCCTACATCTGCCCTGGGAACCTTTTCTGCCCTCTCACCCCACAGCTGTCCCACACATGCACACACACCCTGACACAGAGTGGCTGTAAAGCAGTGGACATGGTTGATTGATTTTAACAACCACATCACAGCAAACTGGTGCAGATGAAAGGGCCCACTAGGGAGGCTGTGCACTTATTCTAAAGATGTGTGTGGCTGCCAACATCACAGCAGTCACCGGGTCTCAGGGCCCCAAGGGAACTACTCTGAAAGGCGACATGCACGTGAATAAGTTGCTCCCAGTGAAAGAACAAGCCTCTCCACCATAAGACACACACAAGAGAGATATAGGTGTTTAACATCTCCACAAGGCACCTGACCCTCTTGCATCGAATGTTAAATTCCAGGTCCTTGTCCCTGTCATCCTACATGCGCCAAGGTATGTAGGATCCATCCAACCCAAAGTCTGTGTGGGCTCCGGAAGGAACATTCTTTTTAACACCAGCCTAAGCTGCATAGAATTAGAAAGAAATTTTTGTTTAAAAAAGGAAAGCCGGTCAGATCTCCAAAGACAAACACAAATGAAATGTGATGTCTCTGAGTTGCTAGGCTCCACCTTCTGCCAAGATCATCTCATCTGTCTGGTTTTCCTGCCTGCTCCTCTCTCTGATCACTGCCCCAACCCACCAGCCACGGCCTCGGCTTCCTCTGCCTTTGAGACGTTCTATCTCTAAGTTCCTGCAAATAGGCCACAACTTGTTCCCACGAATCCTCGATAAGTCAGTCCTAAGAAGTCTCCTTCATTCCTCAGATTCACCACACTTTCTCCCCTGAACCCAGATATTGCTGCCAAACCTAAAGGGTTTATTGAGAGAGACTTCTTGGAAGCCCCCTCGTTCACCCAGCCCCTGGCTGACCACACATCCACCCCTGGCTACAGCACTCAGCTGTTCTGCAGTGTCCGAGCATCACCCAAGGTGAGGGCCAGCTGTGCAGGGGCTGATGGGGCCTTTGGGGGGCAGCAGAGCTGAGGGATCCTCCAGGCATTCTCACCTAAGCCTGAGGATGGCCTCAGCCTGCCTCATCCCAGCCCACACCCATCCCAGCCCACACCCATCCCAGCTTTCCTCTGACTGTGCCTCCAGCCCAAGATCATCTGGATGAAAAACAACATGGAGATCCAGGGCAATCCCCGATACCGCACCCTCTCTGATCAAGGCATCTGCACCCTGGAGATCCGGAAACCCAGCTCCTTTGATTCCGGTGTCTACACCTGCAAAGCTGTCAATGTGCTGGGGGAGGCATCTGTGGACTGCCGGCTGGAAGTCAAAGGTGAGAGCTTGAGAAGGGTCATTCCTTAGGGACCCACTCATGGGTGGGAGAGCAGGAGAATCCACCTTGTTGGAGCTGGACTAGAGGTAGCTGAGAGCTGAAAATCAAGGCAGGAGTGGAGAGGCAGTGAAAACTGAGGTCGGGCTGTGGGAGTGGCTTTCAAGTAGGAGGGTGGCCCAGCGTGTGGACTGCATGTAACCATGAGCCTCTCTCTGTACCATCCCTCCCCAAGTTCTAACCTGCAAGATCTCTTCCAGCCTCAGCCACTCACTGACAAGCCACGGAGGATGCTGGGATGAGGAGACTACAGGTAAACAGGCAGACCTACTCCCTATGCTACCTCTAAGGGCACACAGAAGCAGAGAGGAGGCTGGGAGCAGGGGGGTGGTGAGAGGGGACGGCAGCAGTCAGCTCTGGGTACCAATGTGCAGTCCCAGGCAACCAGCATGCATATGCTGAGACGGGCAGTGATGCCACAGGGCCGGGCTGTGCTGTTGGGGCCTGGAGGGAGATGAATCAGTGGATGGTCACAGAATAGAAGTCTAGTCCTGGCTCTGAGTGACCTTAGGCGAGGGCATTCTCGTTAGACATGTTCTCTCATCAAAAAAGTGGGGACAGCAACCCCTGCCCTGCCTTCCCTCCCTCGTGGTTTTGAGACTCTGCCTAAGTAGAGGGGTATTGACCAGAACTATAGTGAGCAGGGCTCAGACCTGGGCATTGGGCCCAAGGGAGGGGGCCTACTAAGGGAAGAGGGTGCCACTTCCCCTGCCCCTCCACACCTTTCTGGCACACTGAGCTCTACCTCACACCAGAGGCTCACAAAGCATGTTCTCTGGCAGGTGCTGCAGGCCTGAGGGCTCAGGTGACCCAGGCCCAGAATCAAACTCTACAGATGCCCAAGACTCCCATTTCCATAGCAACGGCTGATGGAACTGGCCCTGGTGCCTGCTGACTTCCCGCCCCCAAAGGCTGGAGTCCAGAACTCAAGAGTGGGCCTGGCAGGTCCCAGCCACACTTCTTGGGCTCCAGGGGGC